AAAGTTACAATTACATAATATTTCTACTTCAATTAGTTTTTTTTTTTTTTAATATAAACATTTAAATGGTGGCTGTCATAAAAAAATATAAATTAAACATTGAAGAACAGTAAAAGTTATAATGATATATTATATGGTGCATATATTTAGCAAAATGCTCCTCTCTACAGTTTATTTTTCTAATGAGTTTATGGTCACCGAATATGTTTTTTTATGAGGTAACTGTGACATTACGTGACATTGTTTACAAGCCGTTATATTGACGTCTTTGCGCGGCTGAAACACTGATTGAGCGATTACATGAGACAGGATACAGATTGTAAAGTTGTACTCTTTCTTTTAACTTACCTTCGGATGTTTAGTCATGTTTATTTTGTGCTGAAACTGCTATTAATGTGGAGGAGATGATCATTTCACGTGCGCCTCACGCTGCTACGTCTGTTGAACTGAGGCGCTACAGCAATCTGTCACTCCACATTAAACAGCGCCAAAAACGGCATTTATTGTTTGAATACTGCAATACAATGAACATAATTTGAAATCTGATACTTTGTTTCATATTAAAAGTACCAAAGCAAAATGCTTTTTGTGATTTATTGGACGGGAAGTGTCCTTCAATGTTCCATCCACTAACTGAAAACAGGCTAGACTAATCGATTCTCGGGATTTAATAATCGATATTGTTTTGTACAAATGAGAATCGATCATAATCAAGATATCGATATTTTTTACCCAGTCCTAGTTATCTTGTGTATATTCCTGCTCTGTCAATCCATTATAATGAAAGATGACCCAGCACGCACAGCTTAGAATACACACAATTTTATCTCCGCACCAAAGTGAATTGACTGAGAAGGATTTTAAAAATTTCATCTTTATTTCTAAAATGAAAAGGACTAAGATTTCAGTCAATTATAGATAAAAGCAGGAATACATTACACAACTTGTATACACTAAATGGCTGAGGGTCACACACTAACATGCTTTCAAGTTGTGACTCACACAAAAATATACGCCTTGTAGATATTAAACATGTTTCATATCCACAGACTGGATGAAATCAAAGGCTGAAGCTAAAAAAATTAATTGTCTGCACCCATCAGACATTACGAAATGTTTTTGTGGAGTCAGCTTTTAGTCTCTTACCTTTTGGTTGCTGGTGAGCTGTTGTCCTTCTTGAAGCTGGAGGGGGATGGCAGTATGCCGCCCTTCTTAGGCAGGACAGTACCGTTATTGACCGTGGGTCTCAGGGGCAGGGCTGCAATCATCGGTCTAGCTGAAAGATGGAAGGACACATGGGCAGAATTACACACAGCACTGCAGTCAGACGTTTATTGCCTGTTGTTTTGGTCACACTTTATTTTAAACTTTTGCCTCAACAAATTCCTAATGTGCTGCTTATTGATAGAAGTAGTTGTTAAGTTTAGTCATTGGGTAGGATTAGGCATGTAGTCATGCAGTCATGCAGAATATGTGCTTTATAAGTACTAATAAACAGTCAATGTTAATAACAGGCATGCTAATAAGCAACTAGTTAATAGTGAGAATTGGTCCCTACACTCTTAAAAATAAAGGTGCTTCAAAAGGTTCTTCAAGCGATGCCATAGAAGAACCATTCAGTCAAAGTTTCTTTAAAGAACCATCTCTGTCTTACCTTTTTATAATCTGAAGAACCTTCTATCACCACAAAGAACCTTTTGCGGAACAGAAAGGTTCTTCAGATGTTAAAGGTTCTTTATGGAACCATTTAGACAAAAAGGTTCTTCTATGGCATCGTGAAGCACCTTTATTTTTAAGAGTGTATACTAAAGTGTTACCGTTGTTTCATACAAACTAGGTCCTCTTTAATGTCAAGTTTTTAATAGTTAACTTTACATTCTCAAAGGCTCTATGAAATCACTTGACAAGAACAGTTTTTTTCCTGTTTAGAAGTATTTCCTATTAAAACAGGAAGTCTGGGCGGTACATATAGAGGGACTTATCCCTTTTGTTTTAAATGGCCAAAAAGCATTTGTTACATCATATTCATGAACAATCATTTGATAATTGTTAGTTGAATGTGGTTTTAGTGTAACTCTAGAGATCATTGGACAAAAAAATGTGTAGTGCAGGATGAGTCATCAATATTCTTGTGTCATTGTCCAAAAAGCAAAATATGAATTTTAAGTGCATATATATGATAAAAGTACATTTTGTTTATGGGTATATTAAAAGGGTCATATGATGCTGCTAAAAAGAACATTATTTTGTGTATTTGGTGTAATGAAATGTGTTTATGCGGTTTAAGGTTAAAAAAACACATTATTTTCCACATACTGTACATTATTGTTTCTCCTCTATGCCCCGACTTTCTGAAACGCGTCGATTTTTACAAAGCACATCGGTCTTAAAAAGCGAGGTGTGCTCTGACTGGCCAGCTATCCAGTGCGTTGTGATTGGCTGAATTCCTCAAGCGTGTGACGGAAATGATACGTCCCTTACCATATTGTGATGCCTGCGGCAACCACGTGACGACCCCGGGCTGGACTCTGCTTTGTCCACGGTGAAAGCTGATCCGGCGATCGACAGCGCCAAGTTGAAGTATTTCCTCAGCGACTAGCACGGATCAGCTCCAGGCATGACAAAGCGATATCGTCCTCTTTTGGAAGGTCAAACAAAGTAGCTTCGCTTTCACAACGAATCACACAGCGCCTTCACGACATGGTTGGGATGTGACTTTTAATGATGAGACCTTTTTTGTAATCAGGCTCTCAAAAAGTATATAACAATTTGGATATAGATTTATCGGCCAACATATCGGTTATCGGCTTTCAAAAATAAAGAATAATCGGTTATCGGTATCGGCCAAAATGTTCATATCGGTGCATCCCTAGGCGTGTTAGAACGAGCCGTTTTAGGTAGGTGTGGCTGACTCTTAACTTTTATAAAGAAACTTTTATAAATGGATTTGAGACTTTAGTCTTTGCAACTTTACAGATCTTCTTTATGCACCAAGAGCTTGTAACACTCCAAAGAGAAAGGAAAAATTTAAATCGCATCATATGACCCCTTTAACATACAGATGAATTCAAAGCTAACACACATGGCAAATGCCATAAAACTTTAAATTTAAATTTTACTCTTCTTAATTTTAATTACCATTCAAAAGTTTGGGGCCATTCATTAAAAAATGTGGTGTTTTAGAAACATTTCTTATTATTATCATGTTTAAAACAGTTGTGCGGGAATTTTTTTTTTAGGATTCTTTGATGAATAGAAATGTTAAAAGAACAGCATTTATTTGAAACATAAATTTTTTGTAACATTATACATTCCTTTAATGTTACTTTTGATCAATTTAATGCATCCATGTCGAATAAAACTATTAATTACATTCAAATAAATAAATAAATAAATAAATAAAAAATCTTACTGACCCCAAACCTATGAACAGTATATGTTTAATGCATCGCACAAAAACATTTCCAGATGTCAAATTCAATCAATATAGGAAGAACTGGAACCAGTGTTGGGTAGTAACGCATTACTTAGTAACGCATTACTGTAATTTGATTACTTTTTTAGTAACTAAGTAATTTAACGCGTTATAATTTTCAAAATAGTAATTAGAGTATAGTTACAAGCTGAGGTCTCTATACGTTACTGCCGTGTTACATTGCTGACAGAATGCAGTGTTTTATAATCTAGAGATTGTAAAAAGGATGTAGCACATGCACACTCAAGTCAAGTGCCAGTGGATTAGAGACCTGCTCCCGCGACACCCGACGCAACAGAGTGCGGTGCGGGACAAGATGGGCGAGTGCTGGTGCGGGCGGGTAGACAGTCGTGTGTGTGCGGGATGCGGGAGAATAAAATAATTCACGGTACTCCCGCAAAATAGAAATATCTAAAACAAATAAATTGTTATTCATCTATTGCACAAAAGCAACATGAACTAATATAAAATATAAACGATTAACAGGTGCAAGCATATGCAGACTTTCTATTTAGGCTATAACACGTGTTTGCAGCGTTGAGCAATGCAGTGCTGAAATTTGCGTGCTCACAAATCCTCTCATTATAACACACGAATTGTAGACATTATGCATATATTTATTGTGTTATAACAGAGATTTGTGAGATTGCGATGAACTGAGATGCATTTTAGAGATTATAAATGCTGCGCTCTTTGTTGGCATTCTGCCATGCCAAGCCATGCACGCAGCAGCCGCTTGCTTTAGTTAAAAATAACAGTGTTCTGTGAATGTTGATGCTTTAATAACAAATATTTATCGGGATTTCATAAATTTCATGGAGAAAAAAGTAACGTAACTAGTAATTAGGGGTGCAACGGTTCAACTTACTCACGGTTCGGTTTGTATCACGGTTTTAGAGTCGCGGTTTCGGTACGGTTCGCGTTATGTGCTATGTTTAGGGAAAAAACAATATTGTCAAATAAAAATAAAGAAAATAAGTACAAATAATCTAACTACAAGTAACAGCACAAATAAATAAACAGTGAAAAAGATACAAATAAAATAAACAGTGCTTTTCAGTTTTTTTAGGTAGGTCTAACAGTTTTTAGGTACAGAAATTGAATAAATCAAATTTAAAATAACGTTGCATATTTGACTGTATAAATGAAAGATTAATCCTTATTAAAGTTACAAAAGTTATTCAATCAAGAGCAGTGAGAGATTTCCGTGTTGTTGCTGTTTGATTAACATTAAGAAAATGCTGTCACTTTAAGAGAACGCACTGATACTGTACGTTCAGCCGACTATGTCTGCTAGGATACTCACTGTTAGAAAACACTCTCTGTCTTGTTAAGGTTCCAGATATGCCTCACCCCTCCTTTCTTTCCCTCTCCCTCTCACTCTTCCTCCTCTATCTGTTCTCTCTCTCTTGTATGGTGTTTTAATGTCTCTTACTCATATGCGAGGTATGCATGCTTAAATGTATACATTAGTTGCTTGGTTCAAATGCCCAAATAAGGAGATGAATGCTGAACTGTGAGGAGGGTTCAGGATTCTTCGCCAGGAAGTCTATTCCTAATATGTACATGTTTTTCTGTATATGTGGCCATTTTATACAAAACACATGTTCTTGGCCAAACATCCTATATGTGTATGTCATTCTATCCTCATTGGTTAAGAGGGTGAAACTCCCCTCGACATGCCTATATAAGATCTGTATTTCTATGAATAAATTGAAGTATTGAGAATACATTTGAATGTGTGTTTTCTTACTTCCCGGCCGTATTTACACTTTAGGAGACTGAGAAGATTTCACGGTGGCAAAGAGAATTTACAGAGGGACTAAATTGTTATTTATTAACACTCACCAAGACGGGTATTTTGACATAATTTTTGTGTGAATTTGTCCATTCAAGCACAATACTTCACAGAGAGCTTAATATTTGCACACTTTCTGAGACGCGGGTTCACGAGCTTCGGATGAGCGACCACACAGATCTTCTCACTGCGCGCGCGAGTTCACGTCTTCTGGCGCTTTAATATTTAAACTGTCAAGGCTTAAATGAGTTTAGTGTAAACACAGATAGCAATGTGTGATGTTCAGGTCTCACCTGCGCTATCAACACATGATGACGGCATAAATGACAATTATTCCAGCATATAGCACTCGCATTGATTAAAGAGTGACTGGTTTGTCCGCGTATTGTTTTTCTCTCTCTCTCATCGCTCTTGTTGTAATGCATTGGGAAGCCAGAAGTTGTATCCATCAACAGAAACTTGCATTAGCTGAACTCTAACAAACCATATTACAGATGCATTGTCAGATTTAAGTTGAACCGCGGTCCTAGTGTATGCCGAACCGTGTGTGGAGAACGGTACAGTTCGTTTTTTTTTTACCAAGAACCGGTGCACCCCTACTAGTAATGCAACTAATTACTAATTACTTTTGAAATAAAGTAATCAGAACAGTAACGTGATTACTTTTAAAAGGAGTAATCAGTAATTTGATTACATTTTCAGAGTAACTTGCCCAACACTGACTGGAACAGAGCATTGACCACAGTTTTCCAGAGTAGGTTTTTTCTTGCTTGTTCAGACTGTCCTGCAATAGGTTGAGCCACGAACGGACTCCATTAAAATGCAATTGTGGTTCACAGAAGTCTCGGTTGGTGAATATCCCTTTGTGCAATTCAAGTACTTAGTGCATCCACACCTGCAGTCTAACTGCTGATGGAAAAGATTTTTGAGAGCCTTTATTTACATTCTGCATGATTAATTATTCATCACTGCAGATCTGCTTGAATGTGTTATGAATGTGTAGGCAGCAGGCCAGAAATACAGTAGAAAATAAAAGAAAGATTGAGGCAAAAGCACAAGTGAGAAATAGCAGAGCAAATTTTTTTTGTTTCAAAGAAATCAGCCTGCACAGAGCGTCAAGGATTATGCAGAAGCAAAGCGTGACATCTCGCACACACTTCAAACAGGCAGAGGAATGGATGAAGTGAACATGAGCTAGCTGAAGTACAATGAAAGTAAACATTTCTTTATTGGTTTAAGGAGTCTTGGACCCCAGTTTGACATTTGGTAGCACATATTCATGCAGTCTGGCTAATTAGTGTCTGACATCAAAGCAGCAAGTGTGTTTCAAACCTTTGAGACGGTAAAGAAATGTGACTAATTACTCACTTTATCCTACAGTTCAAAGGATTAGGTCGATTTAGTAAAGCTTTGTTAAACAGTCACCGAAGAATCAAGATATTTAAGGCAATAAGCCACTTTCCATGTCTGTTAGTCCAAAATTAAACACATTCTTGAGATTTTTCAAGGTCTCTCATTTTTGAGAGATATTACAATGTGGATGTGGTAGCTTGTCAGCCTAGCATTAAATGTAATTAGGACTGGAGTGTTTGTTAAGCACACTAACAAGCATCGTATAGTGTTAATCTCACTAAACTCAAAGAACTAGACAAATGTGAGTGAGAACTATATGTCACACATGCTGGAGTGGAATTAGGGATGCACAATATATTGATGATTTTAAGAGTATCAGGTTTTTTTTTAATGATCTGTCTGATTAGGTTGACGTTGGAAGAAAAAAGTTCCACTCTTTTTCTTAGCCAAGTAAAAAAAAAAAAAAAAGGTTAAACTTGATGATTTTATCTATGATTTCAGTTGTGTAAAAGTCAATTAATTTACACAAATTTACTCACCCTCATGTTGTTCCAAACCTGTCTGACTCTTCTGCAGAACACAAAGGAAGATATTCTAAAGAAAAACAGTTCAGTCACCAACATTCTTCAAAATATTTTCTTTTATGTTCAATAGAAGAAAGACATTTTTGAAAGTTTTGAAACTACATGAGAGTGAGTAAATAATGACAGAATGTTTTTGGTGGACTATCCCTTTTTAAATGAACTTTAGTGTGAATGCTGTCTTTAATCACGATTAATCATTGCCCAGCACTAATTTTAATATATAATTTGTCTTTTTTTAATCGCATCCAAAATAAAAGTTTTTGTGTACATAATATACGTGTGTGACTGTGTACTGTATATATTTATTATGTATATATAAAGACACATACATACAGTATATATTTAGAAAATATTTACATGCATTTACATGCATATAGTTATATTCATATAGTTTATACTATATATACATATATATTTAATGTATAAACTTAAATTTTTTTCTTAAATATATACATGCATGTGTGTGTATTTATATGTACATAATAAATACACACAGTACACACACATATATTATGTACACAAAAACTTTTATTTTGGATGTGATTAATCACGATTTTTAAAAAATCTAAATTATAATCATTATACTGGTTATCAGTCATAACATAAAAATTTGTATATTATTTAAAATTAATTAAATAATTAATTGTTTTATTTAATTAATTTGAAAATAATTTAGTATAAGATAAATTAAGCTTCTCTAAATTAAATCAAGTAGATTACGCATTAATCTCTCTACAGGACCCCTGTTACATGGCTCGTGAGTTATGCAAGTGATTCTGAACTTTTAATAACAAACGGAGTCACTAAAATACCCACATGTATATACAGTGGCGCAAAAAAGTATTTAGTCAGCCACCAATTGTGCAAGTTCTCCCACTTAAAAAGATGAGAGAGGCCTGTAATTTTCATCATAGGTATACCTCAACTATGAGAGACAAAATGAGAAAAAAAAGATGAAATTTTGTTATTGACCAAATACTTGTTTTCCACCATAATTTGCAAATAAATTCTTTAAAAATCCTACAATGTGATTTTCTGGATTTTTTTTTCTCATTTTGTCTCTCATAGTTGAGGTATACCTATGATGAAAATTACAGGCCTCTCTCATCTTTTTAAGTGGGAGAACTTGCACAATTGGTGGCTGACTAAATACTTTTTTTCCCCACTGTAACAGCATGCAAATAAACAAATCTGTTTTGCTCATGAATAAACATTCCGTATATAAACATGCTTACGTTACAAATACCAAAGCAAATACCAAATCTAATTAACATTTAAAATGGAACCTACTGATCTTGGATTATAAATATCAGCCAACATTTCTATATCAGTGCATCCCTAAGTGGAAATATAACTTATATAAAACTCAGTCTTCTGTGTTCATGCATTTTTGAAGCCAGTGATGTCAGTTCCAGTCATGTGACTAAACTGTGCTCTTTGTATTAGTGAGTAACTCTTGACAAGTGAGACATGAGCCCCACTGCCTACCTGGTTTCCCAACACTGCTGTCAGAGGAGGGAGAGTCTCTCCTCACTGCTGCTTCTAAACATGCGCACAGTATGAGAGAACAGTTGAGGGAAGGGAATAGGAGGTAGAGAAGAAAGGAAATGAATAGCAATAGAAGAGAAAACTGCAGCCTGAGTAGGGGTGGGATGGAGATGAAAAACAAGAAATGGCACACAGATGGTTCTGTCGTGTAGAGAACTGTTCTCCAGTGAGGCTCAAAGAAAATGCTGAGCATGTTCTAGCAAAGCAGCTGAGATTAAATGCAAAGCTGAAATAAACAAAACGATCTGGAAACTCTAGGACTTTCCACCAGATGAGGTGACGGAGGGTCTGTGTGGTACCTTTGGTTGGTCCTTTCCTGTTGAGCATGGCCTGCTGCTCCTCTGAGATGTTCAGTCTCCTCACCACGTCAGCCAGCGCCGACTTGAGCAGCTGAATCTCATCCTCCTGCATCTGAACCCGCTGCTCCAGAGAGGCGATCCGGTCTGTCACCTCCATACTGCTCGCCGCCGAGGAACTGTCATCTACAACACACACAAAACCTTCAAGTATATGGAAAGCTAATGCTGAAATTTCAATTTCATAACAGTTATAAGTAAGTACCACTGTTAAAAATAGGGATCTTCAAATAGGGTTCACCATATGTGTCTCAAAGAACCATTATTAAATAATTATGTGTTTAATGTGGAAAATATTTACTTCCTATTAGGCTGTATTTTTATTTTTACCCACTACTAAATTAATGTTAGATGTATACACCTCAAATTAAGCCATAAAACGACGGTTGTCAATAGAATAAAATAATTACAATAATTCTCATTATTTCCAACCACACTGTAAAAAAAAGTCATTTTAATGGTAAAAGCCAGTACAAATTATACAGTACAAACCTGTTAAATGGTTAACTGTAAGTTTCCATTGTGAAAATTATATATACAGTGGGGGAAAAAAGTATTTAGTCAGCCACCAATTGTGCAAGTTCTCCCACTTAAAAAGATGAGAGAGGCCTGTAATTTTCTGTAATTATACAGTAAAATAATTTTACATTTATGTAAACAATCATGTCAAAATATTGTTTTTGGAAGTGAAAAAGAACAAGTCATCTTAAGATTTACAGGGAAAACTTTAAATTGATATTCCCAGATGTATGCTACATGTTGTTAAGTGAATGTTTATTGCAGTATTTTAGTACCATGTTTATTACCATGATGGTAATAATGGTAACAAAACAGTGTATTATAAAGGCAGAAAATAGATTTTAATACTTCAGCAGGATGATGTATTAAGGTTATATCAGTTTAGAAAGCAGAATAAAAAAGGTAACTATGTCAAATTCAGTAAAAATGTTCTCAAATGGGATCAGGCTAATTGAAACCAATATTTTTAAGAGTCTGAATGTCAAACAAAGCTTAAAATGTCAAGCAAAGCAGATCTCTGACATCACACATCCCACTTAATAATCCAGTCCATTGTAGTTTATTTCCAACCACGGTGACTATCAAATTTAAGCCAAACGCCTCATCAAGCTGGGTGCTTTTGAAAGAGTCAGCGAGGGATAGCCTAACATGTCCCTCTTCATCATATATAAACATGCTAATGGTTTTTGCGGCACCCTTCTCTAGCAGCTGCTGACCTGGAGAAACCCTGTTACTCCCTCTTTCACTCAGCCACACAAGCCACACACATTCGTAAGAGCAGTTAACTGTTTGCTAGGTGATTAGACAGCTTTGTAAAGTCAGTGGTATGAAACATTAATGAAAACTAGTGCTTTCAACCCCTTCCTGAGAATAACGTCTTCATTAATTATACACTGAGAGGAAGCAGCTGGTAATTAAAGCAATAAAAAAAAACAGTTAAAACATGCTACTGCATTTTCCAATAAGATTTATAAGCAAGCCATTCAATTAGTTGGGTGTGTCATTAAAGACTTTTTTTAAATGACTCTACATCTGTTGGGATCTTATTGCCAGGGCCGTTTCTAGCCAATTTGACGCCCTAGGTGAAATCCCTATTGCCCCCCATAATATATAATTATTTTCAGACACTAGTTGCTTGTCACATTCAAATTGGTTGTCATAGTAACGACACTAATTTGTGGAGATTCAGTGCATTGAGTTCCACAAATCTGAATGCATTATTTGTAAATTGACTGATAAGATAAACATTTTGCACAATTTAGTATCTGTAATATCATTGTGTTGCCACTAGATGCCTGTATAGCCCTATGTAACAATCCCTAGTGGCTAAGACATTGCACATAATTTACACATAAACCACACATAAGTAAATTGTATTACATTTTGATTTGGATACTATATACTATACTACTACATATTGTTTAGATATTATCAATGGCTACTTTTAGGCAACCGCCTAGCTCGCCTATGCCTAGAAACGGCCCTGCTTATTGCACATAATTTTTAAACATGGTTTTAGGTCAGACTGGTATAATCATGAAATAAGTTCAGTAAGGTTCATTACATTAATATTAGTCAGTAAGTCATTAGGTATTATGAACTAACAATGAATATTACTTTTATTTATTACTCTAGGTTAATGTTAATTTATATACAGGTGCATCTCAATAAATTAGAATGTCGTGGAAAAGTTCATTTATTTCAGTAATTCAACTCAAATTGTGAAACTCGTGTATTAAATAAATTCAATGCACACAGACTGAAGTAGTTTAAGTCTTTGGTTCTTTTAATTGTGATGATTTTAGGTCACATTTAACAAAAACCCACCAATTCACTATCTCAACAAATTAGAATATGGTGACATGCCAATCAGCTAATCAACTCAAAACACCTGCAAAGGTTTGCTGAGCCTTCAAAATGGTCTCTCAGTTTGGTTCACTAGGCTACACAATCATGGGGAAGACTGCTGATCTGACAGTTGTCCAGAAGACAATCATTGACACCCTTCACAAGGAGGGTAAGCCACAAACATTCATTGCCAAAGAAACTGGCTGTTCACAGAGTGCTGTATCCAAGCATGTTAACAGAAAGTTGAGTGGAAGGAAAAAGTGTGGA